TAGAGTCCCTTTCCTGAGCTGCCCATGCAACCCACCTTTCCCTTCCTGAAGCTTCTTGGGCGCAGAGCTGTGGAACCACTAGTTTGTCTGACTTTGGGGCCCAGGCTGAGCTCGGAAGGCAGACTCTGGAGGCCACGAGTAGAAAGAATAAACTGGCTTGTTCTGCTCAACCCCCTCTCAGCGGAAACTGGGCCTAACCGCCAGCTCCAGTGCCTGGACCTCGGAACACACTGAGGGCAGATGTGGTGGGTCCCCCCAGCTGTGTGTGGGGGTGGGGCTCTGCGGGAGATTCATCAGCCTTTAATTAAAGTCCCTAAATTGCTTCCCCAGCTGCTTAGTGGGTTTTCCATGTTGGAAAGTTCCAGAAGGGGTGAGAAATGCTGATTCAATCACCCTCTTCCTGTTCTGCCCAGTGGAGGAGAAGGGGCCGGGGACCCCTTCTCCACCCCTCCTGCCCTAGCCTGAATGGAATGGAGTAGGTGGGGGTGGGAGTCCTCACAGCCCTGGGCATCCAGAAAGGGGCTTGGGGAAACCTGGGAGGTGGCTTCCTCTACCTCGAGGGCCCTCGCCCGCCCAGACCTTTGGTTGTGGTTGGTGCAGGCTGGGGTCCATGGGACAGGCAGGTGGTTTGGGTGGGCACAGTGTTCTGCGCTGTGGGCTGTGTACCCTGCAGGCCTGGAAGCCCCGCAGACCCCTGCCCGAGGGGCCTGGTAACAAGCTGGAGAGAGGGATCAGGACCTGGATCCCACCCGATTGGCCTCCAAGTACTTTCCTAGCACGAGGCTTCAGAGAGTGCCAGCAGTTCGCCCGTAGCCCTTGTCACGTGCACGTGGCTTCCTATCCTCCTTCAAGGTGGCCCCTCTGCCCAGGGCTGGGCCATCCTCCCCTTGGTCCCATTTGGGACCCGTCCCCCAGCCGGATCCAACAGCCCTTCCAAGCTTTAGATCAGGGGTTCTCAACCTGTGGGTCGCGACCCCTTTGGGGGTCGAACGACCCTTTCACAGGGGGCGCCTAAGACCATCCTGCATATCAGATATTTACATGACGATTCATAACAGTAGCAACATTACAGTTATGAAGTAGCAACGAAAATAATTTTATGGTTGGGTCACAACATGAGGAACTGTATTTAAAGGGCCAGAAGGTTGAGAACCACTGCTTTAGATGGTCCCACTGGGGGAGGCGGGGAGCAGGCTACAGATGAGAGGGACTTGAGTGACAAGTGGAAGCCAAGCCAGCCTTCAAGTGAACAGAAAACTCAACAGTATAGGGATGGGTCAGAGAGGGAAGGTTCCGGGAGCTATTTATTAGTTCTCCATGGAAATGAGGGGCTCATTAGGGATGCACAAGCCCCAATGTAACAGGACGAGATTACAGGGAGGAGCAGTTTGGGGCCTAACAGTGAGAGGATGCAAAGGGAGCTGCACGTGGAGGCCACTCCTCTGCTGGGAGCTGCGCTGCTCCCAGCCCCAGGTGACAACAGAGGGTGGTCCTTTCGCTCCTTTCCCGGGGAGGTGAGGCATCCTGCCCCAGCCTCAGTTTCCTCCCACACCTGCACCTCTCAGTCCTCGGCTGACCAGTCGAGCGGGGCCCTGTGCAGATCTCCAGGACTCCGTCCAGGCCAGAGTCTAACTGCCTTGCTCCCCTGGGTGCCCTGGCTCTTCATCATGGGAGTTGCCCTCAGTTCCCCTCCCTGAACCTGGAAGCCATCTCTGGGCAGCAAGCCAGGGTGATGGTAGGTCTCACCTTCTTACTTCCCGTCTCTCAGGGACTCTGTCCTATGCCGTCCAAGTGTTGGAAAACCTCTGTTTTGTTTTGTAGGTTTTGCCTCATTTTTCACTTGTTGCAGGCAAATGGGTAAATCCAATCCCTGTTACTCCATCTTGGCCTGAAGTGGAGAGTTTTGCATCAGAGAGAAAGACATGAAAGGCAGGACAGGCTTAGGGCTGGCTGGTTTGAAGCATTCCAGTGACCGTGGGGCGCAGGGGCTGTCCCTAGCTGTCTGGTACCTGGTCCTGGGCGATTTAGAGCAGGGAGATATTGGGCTGGTGTGTGAGGGTAGGTAAAGGGGGTGGGTGGAGAATAGGCTTCAGGAGATACAAATGAACATGTCTGGCTGGCAGTTTGCTCTGTGATCAATGGCCATCAAAGAGACACATGCAGAACCTAACAGAGTAAGAACACCAGCCTCAGGTCCTTCTGTGGCAGGAGCTGCTCCTTTGGGAACCCTGGCCCCTTGCCAAGCTGTGAACCACAGCCCCCACCCTGGGGGTTTGTCTCAGACGTGAATGGTGCTCTGGGACATTCTGGGTCCCAGGCTGCTGGGGCCCTGGGCTGGGCATCTGTCCATGGCACTGGGCCCAATGGCCAGGTGCAGCAGCCCTCCCGTGGGCTTGGGGAGACTGGATGGCAGGGCTTGCCCTGCCCTAATGCCCCCCCCCCACCCTGCACCCCCTCAAAGACTCTCTGACCTGCTCCCACGGCAGGAGTGGTGAGTCCTAGGGTCTGTGGGACAAGCAGGGGGCACAGTCTGGGCTGGGCAAGCTGGCCTGGAATGAAGAGGTTTGATCAAAGCCCCGGGGGTGGGGGTGGTGGGGGTAGTGGGTGGGCATGAGGAGGCCCATGATG